AGTCTAAGTCTAAGTGAAGAACAAGGAACTGCTGTCTGGGGGTTGGGCATCTGCGCTGAGTTACCTGAGAAAGATGGACCGCCTCTCCCCCTCTCCCTTCCCTCTTCCCCCCGGTTTCTCCCCCCCCCCCCTTTCCATACACACACACCATCCCACAGGGAAAGAAGATCTGAGCTCAGTTTGTACAAACCCAGGAAGGACCTCCGGGCTGGTGACTTAGTTTTTAGCTGTCAGTTCCAGCTCCCTGAGCTTTTACATGCCACTGGCCAAGACAGGACTATGCCAGTTAGGTGACTGAAATTACTGGAAATGCTTATGAATCTTTCTACACCTGGGCTTAGAAGGGGAAAACAAAGGGGGCTTTGGCAACCTAAACAGGAAAGGACTTGACCAAATACCCAGCCATACCTCCAAGCATGGAGGAAAGCAGTGCGGCCTACTGATCAAAGGTTTAATCTATCACTCACGTTGCATTTAATTCCCAGCTTGCCCTTTCCCTAGTTGTATAACTAGCTGATGTCTCTGCATTCAGTTTTATCATCTGTGAAATGGGAATTATTATACTTACCTTACAGAAACGTTGCATCCAATACGGGAATGTGAAAACCCCTGGGGCAGTACCTGCTATGTGGAGACACTTTATCAAGTGGTGGTGGCATTAATAAGAGTGAAAGAGCTGTGCCCTGAGCCAAAGGACCTGTTGGATCATAGAGAAGTCAGTGCTTTCTGGGTCTGGGATTAGAAATCGCCACAGATATGCCCTGACTCCAGCCTGGTGGTGGATGTTTGTTTCTCTGCTCCATGTCCTTGTGATGTGGCATCATGCTAGCAGGAGATACACAACGAAAAACAAACCACCTATAGTACCAAGCAGTGGAGTTGGCTGGCTTTGCCTATTCTGCGTCAGGTTGTTAAGTCAACCACTCCTGCCCCATTCTATGCATCAATTAGTCTATAAAAAAGAAGCTATAAACACTCGGGGCTGCCCCACTTCCCTCCTGGCAAAGATTTCACTCAGATCTTATCTCTGTCCAGTTCCATACTCGGCCCTGAGACTCTGATCTTATTTCTGTTCTGGCCCTTTGAACTTGTACTGGCTCCCCCAGTGGACCTCGGCGTTCCCTGTAACACCTTACCTTGGCAGCCTTTTCTACTGGCCAACATCCTTGCCGGGCTGGTGTCCTTTTGCCCCAGAAGATGGGTGGTCAGGCACGGTGTGCTAAGTGCTGAGTCCCAAGCAGAAAGTATTAGAGGAGTTGGGAGGAAGGGGAAGTGCCTATGGAGCTTTTGAGGAAGAGTGGGCTCTGGTCCTCCCCACTGGAGTAGGAATAGGAAAGTCTGGTTGGTTTAATGGCTTAGTGCAGGAATTGGCAAATTCCTGCTACTTGCTCCTGTAAATAAAATGTTGTTGGAAGACAAAGTCAGCCCTTCATGCATTGTCTCTGGCCAGTTCCTGTGCGACAACAGCAGAGCTGAGTGGTTGTGATAGAGGTTAACTGCCTACAAAGTCTAAAATATTTACTAGTGGACCTTTGTTAAAAAAAAAACAAAATTTAACTGAGTAAATTTTAAAGATCTTCGCTTTATTCAACAATTCATGAGTCGGGCAGGTGAAATACAATAGAAAGGAGCAAACAGAAAGAAGCTTCAAGGGACTGCGCAAAAATGACAGATTTTTACAGCCAGAAGGGAGAGGGACAGGTAAGTCATACCAGCAAAAGTGAATTGGCTGTGGCAAGGCCATTGTCCTTAGAGTAACAGCGGGGGTCTAGCAGGCAGATACCCTCACTACTGTTGATAGGCGATTCCTGATTGACTGATTTAAGACTACATTTGTGGGAGAGGCTGAGACTATAATTAAGTCACTTTGTGGTAATGTGGGCCTAAGCATAAGTGACTCCATTTTGGGCCTGTTGTTTTGTTTTTAGCACACTTAACTTTTTTTTTTTTTTTTGACAGTTTATAATAACCAGACCCTGGAAACGATACAAATGTCCACCAATAGGTGAATGGATAGTCCAAACTGGGTATATGCATACAATTAAATATTTTTCAGCAATAAAAAGGAATGAACTATTGGTAAACACAACAACCTGGGTGAATCTCAAAAGCATGTTGAGTAAAATAAGTCAGACACATACAAATACATACTATATAATGTAGGCATAAAGATAGGCATAATGATGGAAATCTGATGAATAGGAAGAGAGAGAAGGGGGTTGCTGGTCATTGTTGACTCATCAAGGAGACTGGGGTGAGGGAAGTGGTTTACATCTTTTTATTTATTTTTATTGAATTTATTGGGGTGACATTGGTTAATAAAATTATATAGGTTTTAGGTGTACAATTCTGTATTATAATACATCATCTGTATATGGTTTCATGTGTTTACCATCCTAAGTCAAGTCTTCTTCTATCACCATTTATCCTCCCTTTACCCTCTTCTACCTCTCCTTACCCCCTTTACCTCTGGTAATTACCATTTTGTTTTCTGTGTCTATGAGTTTTTGTTAGATTTTTTTTCTTAATCCTAATCCTAACCCTAAACTTAACCCTAACCTTAACTCTAACCCTAACCCAGTGATAGGCAAACTCATTAGTCAACAGAGCCAAATAAATACAGTACAACGATTAAAATTTCTTTTGAGCCGGGACCGGTTTGGCTCAATGGATAGAGCATCGGCTTGGGGACTGAAGGGTCCAGGGTTCGATTCCGGTCAAGGGCATGTACCTTGGTTGCGGGCATATCCCCGGTGGGGGGTATGCAAGAGGCAGCCAATCGATGACTCTCTCATCGATGTTTCTAACTCTCTATCTCTCTCCCTCTCTATACAAAATCAATAAAATATATTTTAAAAAAATAAAAAAAATAAAATTTCTTTTGAGAGCCAACTTTTTTAAACTTAAACTTCTTCTAATGCCACTTCTTCAAAATAGACTCACCTAGGCCGTTGTATTTTGTGGAAGAGCCACACTCAAGGGGCCAAAGAGCTGCATGTGGCTTGTGAGCCACAGTTTACCAACCATGGCCCTAACCCATTTCACCCAGCTCCACAATCCCCTCCCTTCTGACAGCTGTACAAAATAGTTTTTGCAGATCCCTGCTTTAGTGCATTAAGCTTTCCCTCAAAAGGGGTGATCTGAGGAACCCAGTTTTGTAAGATTACTTCTTCAAAATGCAACAGTCCAACATGTTGGGGAAACAGACATAATGTTCCCACCTCCTGGGGCTATTCCCAATGCTCTTTAGGGTATTAGAAGCTCTAAAAAAAAAAAAAAAAAAAAAAAATCCCATGCAGAAGAAACTGTTTATTGTTTAACTCTCATTTGCCAAACTTCTTTGAGTTACCAAATCTGCCTTTCCTCAGAACACCTCTTAACAATCCTGAGGAGCTAGCATTCTGTAGAATGCCCGATAAATGCTACTGGTAATTAGGTAAAATGATTTTATATAACCTGGTTCTCAGCCCATCCCTGCCTCTAACGAGCTAAGTGACCTTGGCTGAATTACATATCCATCGGGGCCTGCTTCCTCATTGGCTGAGTAGGATAATGTTGGCTGTTATATCTCTTTTACAGTTTTTTTTAAAGCAAGTCACTGAGATAGTGTGCATGAGAATGGCCTGGAACAACACAACTTGGTGTAATTGATTTTTTGATTAGTTTTGTTTTGAATATTGTTAATAATGGTGATAGTGGAGACAGCAAGAGATCAAGGTCCTGAGTTCCCTTTTCTGGTCCTCACTCTGCTATTACTAACTGGGTTAACTGAGTAACTTTAAACAAGTTCCTTCCCCCACAGGGCTTCAGTTAGCCCCCATGAGGTTGAGGGTTTTAGAGAGGTTAATCTCTAAGAATCTATTAGCTTTGAAATTCAATAATTCCCTTTGGTTACATGCATACAATTTCCCTACTTATCCAGAACAATGGGTCTCTCTCTTTCACAAACCAGGAAGACAGCATCTCCTTGGTTTTCTTAAGAAGGTGTCCGGGTTCAGACTCAGCTATGAGAAGGTATTAATAAAAGGTCTCTGGTGCCACTGACAGCTTAGGAAGCAGGGCTAAAGCTTCTGGGAATGTCTACCTAACAATTCTCACTCTCTACCAGAGTCTTTCTTTCCCTTCTCTTCAATTGCCCAGACATGAAGCTCAGGCAGCTGGTTAACAGATATGGCAAAATAAAAAAGCAGTGGTAACTCCTGCAAAGACAGTGGGACCAAGGGTGGAGCAAAAGTCTCTCCATAGGCATGAGATGAAGTGGTTAGAAAAGCAGAATTCACATAAATTCCATTTGACCACTCTTTTTCTTACCCCGGCCCCCCTCAACCATTTTCTAGCTCCATCAACATCCTTGCTATCAAGGGTTTAGAAGCAGCTGAACAAGAGAGGCTTTGTGAAGAAGGTGAGAATCTACTGAAAAATACCCTCCTCCTCCACGAATTTAGGAAAATCCCAGAAAATCTTGCCTGGGTCAAATAGTCTACAGCATGATGAGTATGGGGCCAACTGGGAAGAGATGATTTGAGGACTGGCTGTCCTTTTGGTCTCTTTGTAAAAACCACAAGGGCACTCCTGAAATTAGGGACAGTCAGACCATCTGCATGAGTAGGGTCCCCAGAGGCCACTGAGATTCATGCCCTTGCAGTCAGCCATTCAGTCACAAATATTTATGGGGGGCCCTACTGGAATGGAAGTTCTCTGAAGGCATTGTGAGATAAAACACAGTTACTGTCCTAAAAGAACTTAGAATTTATTTGAAAAAACAAGGCTAGTATACAATACATGAATATAATTCAATGTGTGCAGCAGGCTGAATGCTAACAGACGTCAGAAAAGAGGGCAACTGCCATGGGCTAGATGTGACGGTTGAAAATTTGTAATTCCTCACACTGATTGATGAAAACCTCTTATATTTTGAAACCTTCAAGAATGGAAATTTCACATTTTTCCTAGGTGACCTCCACCAGTGTTTAATAAATCCTTTCTTGAAGCCTTCTTTGAGTCATACTGTCATCTTTGACTGTGGCCAATTTGTGACCTTTATAGGTCTCAGCCTTTGTTTTCCCAATGGAAGGCCAGCTCCATTCACTTCCTTTTGTACTGGTGAAGGAAGGATGAGAAGGGGTCATGGTGTTTGATCCTGGTTCTCCCTCCATGGTGATCAAGAAGCTTATCCTTCCATTCCTCAGGGTCCAGGGTCCCTCTCTGGGACCATCATGGTGGCATGGGCAGGAGAAGAATCCTCTTGGAGTATCTTCCTTTCCACATGGGGCAGCTGATCTGGCTGGAGGCTCAGCTCCAGCAAATGTGTCATCTGAATCAAGGTGACTCTTGCTTTTTCTGTCTCCTGAGCTGCACAGACAAAGCACACTGTGAGGGTAGTGGGCACTGAATTTGATTCCTCAAGAATCACCCCCATCCACCATAAGCCTTCAAGAGCTTCCTGAACCCTTAGGTCAACACAAATTGGGTCTGAGAATCTTAGCTTCCTCTACTCGCTCCCCCAAAATTTTACCCTTCTTCACCAGATTTAAACACCATGGGGGGTTTAAACTCACTTTAGCAATATTTAAACCTGATAATGTTGCTGTAAGAGACTTTCAGCTGAGCCATGTTAAGGGTGCAAATATAGTCTGGTCTCACATCTGAGCTCTGCACTCTTGCTATCTGCTGCTGGGGTTGCTCATGTGGTTCATACGTCTATGGTTGACATAGGTCGTGCCATCTTCAGAAAAGCTTCTCCTTAAGTTCTGGGATGCAACTGAGATATAAGGTCAAAGATGATTTTCCTGTCTGATAAAGAAACCAAGGCCAAAACCTCTGGCAATGGGCAAGGAGACACCTGATTGGTGGTGTTACTCTTATATCAATCAGGGGCAAAGCAGATGTACAGATCTTAGTTCATCCTAGCTTGATGTCTGTGTTGGTGGCCAGAGCTGTTTCATGCCTGAGGCACATTAATAAATAATAAATAATAAATAATAAATAATAAATAATAAATAATAAATAATAAATAATAAATAAATTATATGTATATTAGAGACCCAATGCATGAAATTCATGCAAGAGTAGGCCTTCCTCCCCCTGGCTGCTGGCATCAGCTTCCCTCTGGCACCCAGGACCTGGGCTTCCCTCACAGCCCCAGCTTTGTCCGGAAGGATGTCCAGAAAGCCTTCCTATCTAATTAGCATACCATGCTTTTTTAAATTATTATTATAGATATAGGAAACCAAGGACAAGAATGGTTAAATGGCTTAGGCTAGAATTTACCACTTTTACATCTAGAAGTCCTGGCACCAGCTTTGACCCAACCCAGTCCTGAGGGTGTCAGATGGGAACAAGCCCCCTCCTCCCCAGCCTTGAGGTTATTTAAACTCAACTCACAAGTCCTCTTTCTCCACAGCTTCCTTTGCAATAGAAAAAGAGCCACAAGCGCAAGTGGGCACAGCACCGCGGAGACAGAAGTCAGCATCCGAGAGATGTTTTTCTCTTCTGGAGAAGCACTGGAATGCAAGTAGCAGGGGTAGGGAGGGGAAGAGCACCAGACATGTGAGGTTAGAGCTGAATAAGAGACCATTTTATGGGTAAGAAGCTGAGGCCAAGATGAGTTGGCTGCCCTCATTCCCACGGCGGGTTAGTAGCAGAACTGGGACCAGAAGTTCTGTCCTCAAGTACCCGAGCCCTGATTCCTTTTCCCAACTCCCCCACCCATGTGTGGGCTCCTTTACTGAGCTATAGTGGGAAAGAGGACTGGGTGAGAGTTAGGGAATCCACCTTTGGCATTTGGTTCTGCCACAATCTTTCCTTGTGGTTTCAGCAAGTCATCTCCTCTCTCTGGAGCTGTTGTTCCTCACCTTTAAAAAAAAAAAGTCCCACCCTGGTATGTGTGGCTAAGTTGGTTGGGCTTTGTCCTATGCACCAGGAGGTTGCTGGTTCAATTCCCAGTCAAGGCCACATGCCAGGGCTGTGGCCTTGATCCCTGATAATGAGTGTGCAGGAGGCAGCCAATTGATGTTTTTCTCTCACTCAATGTTTCTCTCTCTCTCTCTCTCCCTCTCTTTTCCTCTCTTTCTAAAAATCAAAACAAAAAATAAATAAAAACTAAAATATATATAAAAATAAACTTTAAAAGTTCCAAAGGTTCCATTGTTTAGATTTTTCTTGAAAATACTAATGGACCTTGAATGAGGAAGGAGGGATGATTTTATGTCCCTTGCCCTTTACTGTCTGTGGTTACAAAAGGAAAGAAGTGAGTAGATGGAGAGGGCACAGAAGTCAGCTTACTGAGGGGTGCACCAGAGGAAAGGGCAGATGTGGAACCTCAGCTGACAGAAGGGCCTGGGGCTTTACCTCTTCATGGAGGACCCCTTCCCTCGAGGCCTTAGGGGTCCTGCTACCAGGTCCTGGCTTGGTGCTGTTTGGGGACCACTGCCTCCGGCAGGCATGTCTAGGTCCCCTTCAGTACTCCCTTCGGCAGATGACATCTCTGTGCTGCTGGGCCCCAAGGCCCACACACCTGCAGCTCCAGTAGTTCCTTCAATGGAGCCCAGGGCTTGTGGCGTAGAAACCAAGCTTGCTTCTTGGTGGGTTTCCCACACCCATTTTTCTGAGGCCAGTGTTGATTGCCTGATGGTCTTTATGGCTGTCCAGTCTGTAGCCAGGGCTATTCTGACCCTTTCTGCTTCCTCTCTTGGCCTATTGGCCTCAGTGGTTATCTCTCTCCCCTTCTCTTTGGCCCCAGCTCTGTTTGTTGCTGAGCTCCCGGTGCCCCACAGCCAATCATGTTCTGCTGTATCGGGCATCCCTCCAACTGCTGAAGCTGGACTCTCCGGAACAGGGATGGTGGCCCAGCTGGAACTTTCTACCTGGCTAACTGTCCCTGCAGCCACCAACCCAGGGGTTCCTGGTGTTTGCATTCCCTTAGCTGAAGCTGTTGTTTTGCTGGTTTCTGGAGTCAGAGCAACTCTGTCCCATTCTATCCCCTGCCTTTCTATAGTCTGGGTGATTCCTGGGGCCCATTTGTTGGCCGCTGGAGAGGCTGTTCTGAAGAATCTCCTGATGAGCTCACTGGCAGCTGATGTCGCTCTGGGACTGGGGCTGGGAGGGCCTGTGTGAAGAGCAGAGGGAAATATGAGAAGGCTACTTGCTGCCACCGAGTTTAGCAAACTATGCCACACTTAAGGTATTCGCTACATGCAATGCAACCTTGCGAAGTGATACGGTCTTTGGTCAATGTGTTAAATAAAATTAAAATTTGAGAAACCAGATGTATTCTCCAATCTGTTGCAAATATAGACATTTGATGGTCCTATCTCCCTTTTTCTGCCCACAGAGTCTCTAACCAAGCTGTTGGGGCCCGTGTGCTACTCCATTTCCCAGAGGCCCACAGCCCAGCATGTACTCTTGTCAAATAAGAAAAAAAGTCACAGTGGAGCAGTGGAGCAGCCAGTCTCAGCAGGTGGTTAGATCACAAGTGACACCTAATAAATAAAACAAGTCCATGAGCACCGTTCACTGACACACTACCTTTCCTGTAGACTGGCTGTCACAGCCTTCCTCAGACTCTGGGTTCCTGGCTCGGGGTCAGGTCTCCAGAGACCGCCATGTAGGGCATGGACCTGGTACACCACAGCCGTAAGCAGTTGCATTATCCAATTCATTACTTTCTTGGAACTCTCCCTGAATGTACAGGCCACACATTGGGGGGTTGGAAGGGTATGTGTGAGAGGAGTGGATAGCCAACATGCATCCAGGTGGGCAATTCTCCCTGACATCTGCCTTCCTTCTGATGGTAGTTTCCTTAGAGATGAAGCCTTCTTCTCAAAGTCTTTCCCTCATCACAGTCTCATGGTTAAAGCCCCCTGGGACCGCTTCCTTCCCTTACACCTGTTTCCTGGCACCCGCTTCGTCAACCTGTGTGGAGTGCAGCTACAGTGTTTGGACAGGTTCAAGCCTCGGACTAATGAGAGGGCACAAGTCCTCTCGTGGCACGTGTAAGTCCCAGCTTGGAAGGCAGAGCTCTCCCAGCACAATGATAGCCAACAGCTATGGTTGTCAGCTTGAACCTGTGGTCTGAACACGTGGCCCCACGTGCCTGAGTGATAGAGGCTGCAAGTAAACAAAGCTTGATCAGGTGCATGCAGTTGAGTAGGATTGAAACCCAGGAGAACGCTGTAAACATCTTGACCACACCCTTACTTTGCCTCGTGGCACCTGCTATACAATAAAGATACAGCTTGTAGGCGCTGGTCGCTGTCTCTCAGAGAAAGTGTCCCACTGAGACCCAGCTTTCATTCTCTTGTCTGTCTTTTCTAAGCCTTTCAGCCTCCCCCGTTCAGGGTCACCGTTGGCCGTGTCGACGTGGCACAAACTTTGACTCACCCATACCTGCAGAGATGGCCAGGTTCATGCTCAAGAACATCATATTGTTCCCGTTTCCGATACCACAGCGGTAGGACCCCACATCTTCCGGGGACAGCTGGGTCAGCCTCACCACAAACAAGCCGCTGTGCGGGAAGTCTGCCAGAGCCACACGGCCACCGTAGTGAGCGTGCGTGTAGTGGTTGGTGGACACGATGGTGTGGCAGAGCCACGTCAGGGGGCTGAGGCGGCACCAGTACTTCCGCTGGTGCCTGTTGATGGATGTGGGGGTGTAATGACACTGGATGGTGACAGCGCCCCCAGGGTCCCCAGACACCAGCCTCGGGCCCTTCAGCGCGTTGGCAGCTGCAGGCAGAGAAAGCAAAGTGTCAGGAGAGGGAGTGTTGTGTCGAATCCAGCTCCACACAATGTCAAAATTAGGGAGCAGGTGAGAAAATGCCTCCTTCAAAGTGAGGCAAGAAGAATCAATATAGAAACATCAGAACTTAGCCCCTGAATGAAGAGTAGTCTCAATATATGGAATGAAGCTACATCCAAGGCCCCATCTGAGAAATGAGCATGGAAAAAGCACCTTAGCCACGACTTAGCCCACACTCCTCAGGCGCCAGGTGTTCCCACACGAGTCCATGCAGGGCCTGGCTTCCTTTCGCTGGGCTCGGATGCAGATGTTTAAAAGGCTGCCATCTGAGCATGCGTAAGAGGGCAGAGGGAACATCTGGTAGACGACTGTGGTGTATTTGCATGAAATGTAAAGAGAAATGTTCAATAGTAAGAACAGATCAGCGTGCTTTCTGCTGAAACTGGGGTGGGGGTTGGGAGCAGGGAGGGGACTGAAATATAAGAATTCTAGGCTGCATGGGGGTCTATCCCCAGACCAGGGTTTGCAAAAGTGTTCACACTGGCCACCTTTTTGGGGAAATGGACACAAGCACGTGCCATGTCAAGGCCCAGAGGCCGGTATTGTGACTACGTTTGCTTTGGCAACAGGTGTAAACCCCAGTTGAATCACAGTAGGTGGCCTGTTTATTGAATGCCTTAAACTTGATCGGTGCCAGCAGAAACAATGTTTATCCTTTCTCTTTCTGCCTGTTCATCCTTGCTCTGTGGACTTCTCTGCTCCCTGATACAATCGCAGGCATGCTTTCACACACCATGGCTTTCAGTCTCACCTCGGTATGAAAAAGCCAGCCTAGACTGCATGCATATGTAAAATCATGGAACCAGTCCAGTCAAGACTGTTTCCACCTCCACTCTCTGACCCAACTGAAGCTGTTGTCTTTCTTTCTCCCAATTAGGTTTGGAGGCCTACGTGGAGGAAGGGGAGGGACCTTTGGGGGTTTCTTGCTTTGCTCTACTCCTTCCTTTACCCCATCTGCTCTTTGAGGCCCCTCTGGGAGTGGATATGGAGGAGAGCAAAGAGAGGGGCAGTATGGTCTGCTCTGGTGCCCTGTGGACATGCAGATGGCCAGAGCAGATTCCTTCTCTGCTGCCTCTCAGATGTGTCCATGCCTCTGGCTGCAGTCCCTTCCTTGTCAGAACTGCCTTTCCTGCTGGCCTCCTGGGACTTCCCTACCTCCAAACTTATGACTTCTGGCCATCACCTGTGGCATGTTGTGGTCACAGTGTCCTCTGGGTGGCCCTCTTGGTGGAGGCCCCAAGCCAGGTCCTTTCTGTAGGTCCCATGTTTGCTCACAGGAAGCACACCTTTGTCCTGCTGTCACAGCAAACTTGGGCATACAGCAAACTTGTTGAGCGCCTTTCTAGAAGTCCCTTCGAACCTGGCTTAACATGGGTCCCACAGTGAGCTCTTCTCCCTCGGATGGTCGGCTACTGTGGAAACAGCCAGCTTTGCAGTCTCTCTCCACATTCCTTCACAGTGGTTCAACATCTATCCATTGATTCTATGTCTTTAGTACCTCTGACCCAAGAAAGTTCAGTTTAACATCCTATTGTGAGGACCGGCTATATAATTTGCAGGGCCCATTGTGAAATGGAAATACAAGATCCCTTGTTCAGAAATGGCAGGGTCCCAATAAAGCAGGCCCTGTTCGTTGCATGTGTCTTGAGGAATAGTTACAGGAAGAGTCAAAGTCATAAATGCTATGGACGTACCAACAGCCAGTGTAGGTTTAACTAAATGACCAAATATCAACTATGCCCCTATTAATAAAATTAAATAGCAATTTACCATTAGGAGGCAAAAAAATTCACAATTGCAAACAAGGATCTTCTCAGGACAAGAGTAATGGTGCCCTGATAGAGGGCTTCTCCCCAGATTTCAGGAACTCTCATGATCAACACGTGGCATGTGTGAGAGGCGCTCTGCCCTGTCAATCAGCAGGCTGGGACGGTCCAACTTTCCTGTGGGAGGCTGATTAACAATCCTGAATCAACTTGGCAATGCACATTTTTCTTTCAATAATACTACTGAATTCTGCTGGCCCTTAACTCATGTGGTAGATTACTGATGAGTAGCTCTTAGTTGTCTATAATTAAGGTATTTGGGGTTTTCTTATTGGTCACCTGTGAAAATTAAAGAAAGGGCTAGTGTTTCAGTAGGAGTGGGATGCCCATGTGGGGTCCCTGATGCAACTCTTTGCCCTTCAGAGGCAGAGGGGCCCTGCTCTCTCTCAACCACCATTTCCCAGCAGTTGTCCGTACCTGTGGCTTCTACTAGGGAGGGTGAGTGAGGCCTGCAGTTGGAGGGAGGCCCTGGACTGAGCAAAACTTGGCCTGAGAAGATGCAAGAGGTCGGTGGGGTTATCCTTGCCCTGGCTCTCTCCCACCAACAAAGGTGTGAGAAACGTGTGTGTGTGTGTGTGTGTGTGTGTGTGTGTGTGTCCTTGGCCAGGAGGTGGAGCCTGGAGGGAAGAGAGCCAACCCACAGCCATCTGTGACAGAAGTCTTCTGTGTGAAGGGCCACAGCACAGGGAGGAGATGGGCCAGCAGGGGCCATGTAAGGGTCCACAGAGGCACCTACAGGAGGAAGGGTCAGCTCTAACCCCCTGCCAGGCCGTCCCATCACTAGAGTCCCTGCCTCTGCCTCTCCTCCCTTCTGCCACTGTGACCCTGGTAAGGTCCAAATGGCAGCTGACAAGATAAGGGGGAAGGGGAGGGGAAGAGAAAAGGTTGCCACCACAGCCCCCTTTCTGCCTTTCTGACCGAAGACCTTGAGTACATGAGGGGCCATGTCTCTGAATGAAGATTAAAATGCTGACCAAAATATCTAGCTGGACACTTAAAATGATTACTTTAGCATGTTTGAAACTTAAAGGAATTAAATTAGGACTAGTATCTACATGTCAGCAGAAAAATCATGAGTTTTCATTTAGGGACATGAGGAGTCAGTTCCTAGTGATAAATTAAAGGGAGCAGTGAGAGATTAAAGAAATGGTATGATTTATCAGAGAATTATTGCTCAGATATTAGCTACCTTTGATTCATTAAAACTCTGATTTGTTTATAAGCCAAAAACATTGTTAATTTTTTTTTTTTTTGCATTACCATAACATTTTCATTTCACTCATTCACTTGCTAGCAATTTGTTAAGTATCTACTTTGGGCCAGGTTCTAGGTACCAGACACTCTAGGCACGTACTTACTACATTCCTTAATGGCCCTCTGGCCATCAAATAAAGTCCAGAGACCACAGCATGACAACAGGTCATTCATCATCTGAGCCTGATCTGTACCTGGCCAGCCTCACATCACCACCTGCTAGCACCTGTAGGGCAGGGACCCTGCCTTTCTTCCATTTGTCTCTCGTGTCTGGCACATGGCAGGCTCTCTGTAAATACTACATATTGACTAAGTGAGTATTTGCATAGATACCATTTTTATTTATCTAGATTTTTTATAGACTCTTTTCAAGTAGGACAGGGTCTTTTTCTTTATGTCTCTTGTACTGGGCCTGATTGTAGAGTAAGTGCTAGTCTTTTTTGCACACCCTGGATCCTTGATCTTGCAAATGCAGCTGACTTCCAGACATTAAGTTGAATGGAAGAGGGCAGAGAGTAGGGAACATCAGAACAATGAATATTCTGGAAGCCATCAAAGTAAGCATGTGCCTTCTCCTGTGAGCTCTTGGCTTCCTCACTCCCCCGGACCTCAGATCTGACCACTCCTTGGTCCTGCCACATGGCCTTGGATGCCAGGAGGGAAAGCCATGGCTGTGCCCTGACTGCCGAGGGCCGAGGTGCCCTCTAGGAGTCTCTGTAGCCTGGAAGGCTCGGGTCTGGCTTTGCAAGCTCTGCCCCTGGGCTGTTCAGAACTCACCTTGCAGCAGGCACAGTATGAGGACCACCAGCATTTCCCATCCTGCCCTCTGGTTGGTGACCTGCAAAAAACACTACATGAAGCAATGAAGTCGGCTGAGAAGGAGAAAGAGGGGAGCTGGGGTGAGCAGCAGTGGGCCTGGGTTTGGCACCTCTGGCTTTGGGGGCTCGGTCTGCTCCGTGTGGGCTGGATGGACATCTCTAAGAGCAAGACAGGGGCCACCCTCTTTGAGAAAAGCTGGAGCCCATCTTCACACTCCCAAGCATGTGTGCTTGGCCTGGGCCATTGCCACCAAGGCTACCATTTCCCCACTTGGCCATTTCTGTGTTCAGAAGAGGCGAAAGGCCCTCTGTGGCATTCCACCCTCTGCACCCTCTTGGCAGTGGGAGCTCTGGGTGTGGGGAGCTCTGAGTTCAGGGAGCATGGTGCAGGGGAAAGATTAATGCTGGAGGTTTAACCCTTAGTGGCCCTGTGGGACCTGGGCAAGCTTACTCTGTGCCAGCGACCGGTCTCCCCTCCAGGAACAGAGAGCACACACATGAGGTTGTTACGGGACACCAATGAGATTGCCTTGGAAGTGCCAACAGTGAGCCTGCACAGAGCAGCTCCCTTCCCCCTCTCCTGCCCCCTTCTCTTTTGTGGAACAGATTTCTCATGGGAAACTTTCTGCTCCGCTGGTCGTGTGCCTCTGGTCAGTAACGAGGAGTTAAAAATGAATTCGCAGCCCAAGGATTGTCTGCACAAGGGTTCTAGAAAGCTCTCCCTGTCCCCCCATTCACTCCTATCTTCCCTGTGGAGTCTCCCATGGCCTGGGGTGCTCCTTGCAGACAGGGCTGGGTCTCCTCTGTCCTCCTCCAGGCTCTGAAGTGGGATCCAGCTCAGGTGCAGCTACTGTGAACAAGACCCGACCACTCTTGATAGACCGCATACTGGTCATGGCAATGCTCTCTTAGTGCCTGCTGATTCAGAACAGTGTACATCACACTTCTTTTGTACCCTCCGTAGGGTTTTCATGGATGCTTTTTGATGAAAAATGTGTTCTTTGAATCTAGCTACTGCCTGCAGCTACTGCAACCTACTGATAAAAATTAAGGCAAACTGCCCTGGGTGGTGTGGCTCAGTTGGTTAGAGCATCATCCCACATACTGAAAGGTTTCAGGTTCAGTCCTCAATTGGAGCACACACGGAAAACAACCAATAGATGTTCTCTCTCTGGGTAAGGATTTTAAAAACTGGCAAACTAAAGAGCCATTGTTTTCTCCTTCCTACTCTCACAGCCCACACTAATGCTAAGAACAGGCTTTGCAAGCCAGTGGTCTGGCCCAAGGGCAGGAGCCCCCTGTCCCCTTGCCCCGACCAAGCCGCTGAGCTACATGCGGTCACTGGCCAGTCCAGGACACAGGCTACAGGAGGAGAAAAGAGAATGGGAGAGAGGTGACAGGAAAAAAATCAGAGAAAATCAGAGCAGGGGGAGAGGAAAGGAAGGGTGGGAGTTGAAAGAAAAAAGAGGAGAGAATAGGAGAAAAGCAGAACCCTAGGTTTGCCCTGTAGCTGCAAATTGTCACAGCAGCTTGGCTCTGCCCAGCCACCTCCACCACAGCCTCTGCCGGCCTATCCTGGTAGAGCCCTGAGCGTGGTCGGTTTTGGAGAAGTCCAGGGGCTCCTCATACCCCCTCTGGGCCTCCCCTCAGCAGCTCCCCTGCCTTGGTCCCAGCCTTGGGCCTCCTCTGCCTCCCAGAGCTCTGACTTCCTGCCCTGGCCTGGAGGCTCCCCCAGGTGTCCCCACACCTAGTCCATTGTTTGCTTAATGTTCTCCGAGCTGAGCTCCGGCTCATTGGGGGCTGGCACCAGGCCCCAGGACCAGTTTCCCTAAAGAGCCAAGTGCTGACTCCACAGGCATTAAGGCCAATTTCTTCCGAGGCGCAGAGTCTCTGCCTCAGAGGGGCAATGAGGAAGCACAGCGTGGAGATTAAATGTCCCCGGGCAGTTATCAACCGTAATTGGAGGCTGCAGGATAACGCCGCATTCTGTCTTGGGCCCTGCCAATGACCTTCAGAAAGCCTTTCTCAGCGGGCGCGGGCCTGTTACAGAGCACGGCTTCTCAGGCCCCTAGGGATGCTCAGGGCCTCTCTTGTCCCGCGGTCCTGCTGGGAAGCGCCGCTAGCTCACCGTCAGCACAGGCTGGTGTATGGCCCCCAAATCCTACTGCCTCCTGAGAGCCATTCACTTAGCCTCCCAGCCCTGGGACAGCACACAAGGAAGGAGGGAGCCAGTGAGATGTTTTAATAGATAGAGGTGAACAGAACCAGGATTAAGTAGGGTCTGGCCACGGAATGGCCTAGACTCTAGCACATGTGTCAAACACAAGGCCCGCGGGCCAAATCCGTCCTGCTAGGCCTTGCAACGTGGCCCGCACCGCGCTGTCATCACTGCACTCTGCTGCGTTTCCATCACAATGACAGTTTATGACTGTTCAGTAAACCATTCGGCCCGCGATTTAGGCTGGATTTTAGATTTTGGCCCCTTCTCTGATTGAGTTCGACACCCCTACTCTAGAGCAATGCGCCTTCCGTCTCAGTCTCCGCTGCTGTAGTGGAAGAGCACTGATTGCAGGATCTCCAAGTTCCCTTGGGTTTCCAGCATTTGTTGGTTCTAAATGCTGCAAGGGCCCCCCACGGAATCAGGTTCTGGTGGGAGGGAGAGCGGGAGTGAGCAGAAGAGGAGGGGGAGGAGGAGAGGCTGAGCCCTAAACTCCAGAGTCTTCCCTGGCCTTCTTGGGGGCAGGGGGAGAAGATGGGGAGCCAGCTGCTCTGGGAAAAGCATTGACAGCCGCCTTCTGCAGCTCAGCACCAACGCTCCACACTCGGAGACTAGACCCCATTCTCTGGGGAGAAAGCCTCACCTCACCTTTTGTCCTCCAGGCACAGTGGGGGCCTCTGCATCCATCTCAGTCTAGAAACGAAGTCCACTTGGCTTTCCCTCTTTCTCTCTTTGAGATGCTGGTGGCTGGACCTCTTCTAGCTTCTTCTCTTCAGATCTGCGGACTGAGGAGGCAGCATGGGCTGGGAAGTGGCTGGAGGCAGCCCTAAGAATGGAGGTGCAAGCGCAGCTCTGCTCTCACCCCCATGGCCTCTCCAGGGGAGTCGAAGGGGCCAGGTCAGCTCGAAGGTCTTATCCCAGGAAGAGGGAGCCGGTCCTGGGCCCTGGTCTCACTGCCTCTGATTTCTGCAGAACTTTTCCTGGAGCAGTGATGGTCGTCTCAAAATAAAAAACACACTGGTCTTAGCCTTCCACCTGTCACCCCTCTAAGTCCCGGGTCCCAGACTTGTTAGGACGCTGCAGCTTAGCCAGCCCATTCCTGTGATGCAAACCCTCAGGCAGGAGAGAAAATTCAGGAGAGGAATTCCCCTGCTGACGGGGGCAGCTGGTGCCTTCGAGCTGACCTGGCCGCTTGGACTCCCCTGGAGAGGCCGTTTGGGTCACTGACTGCAGTCCAGCTGCTCGCTGGCAGTGACTAAGTCATCCCGGACAAAGCCCCACAGTGATTAGATGATCTCATGGACAGGGAACACTAAGTGTGGCTTGTCTAGCTGGATGACATGCTTGAAAACCCCCCGATATTTCCCTCTGGAAAGATTTTATGGGTTGGTTTTTGTCCCCTACGAGATGTGACCTGCCTACCCTGCTGGTTTTAAGCTGACCTCCCAGTGGCTGGCACAGCTCAAGCCCTCAACAGCCAAGGGCTCCTGGGATGGAGGTGCTGCGGCCTGTGGGTAAGGGCTCTCACCAGGACCTCGCAGACAATGTGGCACCCTTGGGCCAACCAGGAAGGACCCTTCTTCCTTAAGAAAAGCAACGTGAGCGGGTACATTGCCGCACAATTTAATAAGCACAGTGGCAGCGTGTACTCTACGCATTTCCCCATCCAGGTGGGAAGACAGGTTGGGATGGGGATTGGGTAGTGACTGAAAGCCAAAAGTGAGGGAAGGAGCAACTGCCCAGGACGCCTTGGCTGGGACGAGGTGGTCTCGTGCATGTGTGTGCCCGTGAGCGTGCACAGGTGCCCGTGCTACTGTCCCAGGGCCTGGCTAAGAATCTCAGTCTGGAGCTCGGCCTCCCATGGACATTAGGCCACAGCTAAGCCGTAAGTGGCATCCCCAGAGCGAGGCACGCTTGCACAGGACAGTCAGAGGCTGTCCTAGACCGGAATGACCCTGTGCAGGGGGGAGAAAGGCTTAAGGCCTGGCAAGCTGCACCCCTCCCAGCTCCTCGGGGAGCAGCCTGGCATTTCGGTTGATTGATCCCTGGGTTGATCACTAGACTTTGGAATCAGACTCCCTCCAAGTCAATATCGCAGCCCTCCCTTTTTACTGAGGCAGTGATATGCCTCCGATTGTTTACCCTCCCCGAGCCTTGTTTTCCTAATCTGTGAAACAAGACTCGATAGCGCGTACCTCATAAAGTTATTATGTGAGTAAGTGTGATAATCAGAAGGCATTAGCTGATAAAATGTAACAGTTGAGCTTTCAGCAGCAGGAAGCTGGTGTCTGTCTGGTAATGATCAAACCTTAAAAAAAAAAAAAAAAAAAAAAAAAAAAAAGTCCTTTTGCCCGGCCTGCATGGTTTGATGGTTTGAGTGGCGACCTATGAACCAAGAAGTAACGGTTCGATTCCTGGTCAGGGCACATGCCCGGGTGGTGGGCTCGATCCCCAGTGAGGGGTGTGCAAGAGGCAGCCCATCAATGATTCTCTTTCATCGTTGATGTTTCTCTCTCTCCCTCTCCCGTCCTCTTTGAAATCAACAGAAATATATATTTTTTAAAAGTCCTTCTGAAGGCGTTCCTCTGTTCAGAAGTCTGCCACTTTCTTACGTTTTTTTGTTCTTTTGCCATTTTGTTATTTTGGCATTTTGAAAGATTAAAAAGAAATCAACTAGGGATATGCCTGAGTTGATTTTGTATATTAAAATAAGTATTTATCAAATGTGTATTATCTTATAAACAATGTGGTCATTTTACATCCTTGAGGCTGTCTTTCCATTATGTTTACTTTTGGACACTTTGAAGAATACGGTAAAGGCTAGTTAGCTGTAAAGCACTGGGCCAGTTTCCAGGGCCGTGTCCCCGAGCCTGGAGCTTTAAGGGCTTCTTCTCCTGGGGCTGCATCTTGCCCAGCACAAAGCCACACGTGGCCTCTGTTTTGTTTTTATTTATTTTTAACCCTCACCCAAGGACATTTTTCACTGATTTTTAGAAAGAATAGAAGGAATGGGAGACAGAAACATCCATGTGAGAGAGACACTTCAATTGGTTATCTCCCACACATGGCTCAAGCCTGCAACCAAGGTACATGCCCTTGACTGGAATCGAACCTGGCACCTTTCAGTCCCAGGGCCGATGCTCTATCCACTGAGTTAAACCAGCCAGGGCTAGGTGGCCTCTTTACCAAGGCTCATTACACTGTGACCTCAGGCTCCAGGAAACGACTAAGTAATACTTAGACCAAATGTCAGATTTGGAAAGAGCTTTATCCACTCCCCATCCCAGTTTTAGCAAAAGATTTTACCTGCTAAATGGACACATAAGGGTAAAAATCAGCAAGCAGAACTAACCAATGCAATTAAAGCCCTTTATGGTATAAACAGTCCACATTGTTTATATTGATCCTTTTCCCGGTGAATAATTAAGAACAATGTACAGAGATGTGTTAAGCATCGATGTGGCTGGCACTCAAGGCTTACATTCCTCCTTATACATCATTGCAACGTTTCCTGCTTACTCTGCCCATACATTTGAGCTTTTTTCTACCCTTGTTATTTGCGGGAGTGACACACCCCTCTTCACAATTCCTCACCAAAGCTCTGGTCAGAATACCGAATGCAGAAGAAAACGCTGTCTAAAGACTCTTGGGTTACTACAAGTCCTACAAGTCTTGATCATTTATTTAGAAACTCCTAGAACAGTGGTCAGCAAACTCATTAGTCAACAGAGTACAACGTTGAAATTTCTTTTGAGAGTCAAATTTTTTAAACTTAAACTTCTTCTAACGCCACTTCTTCAAAATAGACTTGCCCAGGCCATGGTATTTTGTGAAAGAGCCACACTCAAGGGGCCAAAGAGCCGCATGTGGCTCGAGAGCCGCAGTTTTCTGACCACGGTCCTAGAAGAATGTAACTCTGACATTTACCACTCTTCCAAATGATAATAAAAGGAAGTATTTGTACAGCACAAATAAATATATTTCAGAGTTGCCCTCCCCCCTATGATTTCACTTTGTGAGGTTCAGTTGCCTGCAGTCAATTGTGGTCTAAAAAAAATGAAGTGGAAAATTTCAGAAATAAACAATTTATACTTTTAAATATATATATATATATATATTGATCTCAGAGGGGAAGGTTGAGGGAGAGAAAGATAGAAACACCAATGATGAGAGAGAATCATTAATTGGCTGCCTCCTACACGCCCCCCACTGGGGATCCAGCGCATAACCTGGGCATGTGTCCTGATTCATGGATCAATGCTCAACCACTGAGCCACACCAGCTGGGTCAATTCACACCTTTTAAATTGTGCACCACTCCAAAAAGTGTGATGAAATCTTGCGTTGTCCTGCTCTATCTCGAATCGTCCCTGTGTCCAGCATCTCCACGCAGCAGACACTCTCTCCCAATAGTCACCTAGTATCTGCCATCGTGGTTCCTACATGGGCTGTCGAGGTATCAAAGTGCTTGTTCAGGTTACCCTCACAGTAGCCTAATGCTATGTGACATGTCTACGTCACTCACCTCACTTTATCTCATCACCTAGGTATTGTGTCATCTCACATTATGACAAAATGAAGAAGGGTGAGTACAGTACGGTAAGAGGTTTTCAGAGAGAGACGAGAGAGAGAAAGAGAGAGACCCCATTCACATAACTCTTAATCTAGTATGTTGTTATAAACGTTCTACTATATTATTAATTATTGTTAATCTCTGACTGTACCTACTTTATAAATGAAGCTTTATCATAAGTATGGATGGGTAGCAAAATACGTTATGTAGAGAGAGTTTGATACCCTCTGTGGTGTCACGCATCCACGGGGTGTCTTGAACTTATTCCCTTGTAGATGACAGAAGACTGCTGTCTAATGGCACTTAGCAGGCTTGACAACCTCCGCCATCATGTGGCTGATTGTGAAGATTGCAAGCCAGCATCCTTAACACCCCTCCAAACCCAACGGGCATTCCTGAGGCGACAGGAGAGGGCTGTGGTTTATGTCCACACACACGGCTGGTTGAAGCACAGGGTACAGAAACCCTAGCTCATTTCCTAGAACCATGGTCGGCAAACTGCGGCTCGCGAGCCACATGCAGCTCTTTGGCCCCTTGAATGTGGCTGTTCCACAAAATACCACGGCCTGGGCAAGTCTATGTTGAAGAAGTGGCATTAGAAGAAGTTTAAGTTTAAAAAATTTGACTCTCAGAAGAAATTTCAATCGTTGTGCTGTTGATAGTTGGCTCTGTTGACTAATGAGTTTGCCGACCACTGTGACCTAGAACATAGGGGCATGTTGTCTAAGACTTCAGCTCACATTCATCTCCCCATGTTTTTAGGGACAAAATTCAACCCAATAACAGGGCAACAAAGAGAAAAGAGCTGACAAAGTATCACCTGGAAAACAGTCTCACACACCTGAGCAGTCTGTGCCTTCCGACCACAGAAGCTGCTGGGAGCAGGGTGTCCCAGAAAATGCTAGAAACAAATCTGAATTTAGGAGCTGAGAGAGGCCAGCTTCTCACAGCTGCCAGTATGGTTGTGCCATCTGTCCCACGGCAGGGGCTGGACCAGGTGACCCCCCACAGATCCTTGCATTTAAAGGCACCCTCACTGTGTTAGCTTTATTTCCAGAGCTGTACTGGGTTACCCCAGGGCCCCTTTCTCAGCCACAGATCTACTGGAACCGTCCACAAGCCGCAGTCCTTTTTCTTTTCTTTAAAAAAAAAATAAATAAATAATAATATATATATATATATATATACATATATATATATATATATATATATATATATATATATATATATATATAATTGATTTTTTTACAGAGAGGAAGGAAGAGGGATAGAGATCTAGAAACATCGATGAGAGAGAAATATCGACCAGCTGCCTTCTGCACACCCCCTAGCGGGGATGTGCCCGCAACCAATGTACATGCCCTTGACTGGAATTGAACCTGGGACCTTTCAGTCTGCAGACCGAAGCTCTACCACTAAGCCAAACCGGCTT